GTGGTTCTCGATGTAACGATAAACTGCTTGTTCCTTGTCAGCTGAGAATATTTAATGTCATCGTTGTGGTTCTCGATGTAACGATAAACTGCTTGTTCCTTGTCAGCTGAGAATATTTAATGTCATCGTTGTGGTTCTCGATGTAACGATAAACTGCTTGTTCCTTGTCAGCTGAGAATATTTAATATCATCGTCGTGGTTCTCGATGTAACGATAAACTGCTTGTTCCTTGTCAGCTGAGAATATTTAATATCATCGTTGTGGTTCTCGATGTAACGATAAACTGCTTGTTCCTTGTCAGCTGAGAATATTTAATGTCATCGTGGTGGTTCTCGGTGTAACGATAAACTGCTTGTTTCTTGTCAGCTGAGAATATTTAATGTCATCGTTGTGGTTCTCGATGTAACGATAAACTGCTTGTTCCTTGTCAGCTGAGAATATTTAATGTCATCGTTGTGGTTCTCGATGTAACGATAAACTGCTTGTTCCTTGTCAGCTGAGAATATTTAATGTCATCGTTGTTACATCGAGAACCACGATAAACTGCCTGTTCCTTGTCAGCTGAGAATATTTATTTTCATGGTTGTGGTTCTCGATGTAACGATAAACTGCTTGTTCCTTGTCAGCTGAGAATATTTAATGTCATCGTGGTGGTTCTTTATGTAACGATAAACTGCTTGTTTCTTGTCAGTTGAGAATATTTAATGTGATCGTTGTGGTTCTTTATGTAACGATAAATTGTTTGTTTTTTATCTGCTGAGATTCATTAGTGTTATTGTCTTAATGCTGACTGTAAGTGTTTTTCTTATAGTGTTATGTATTACTTTTGTTAATAATACTATTTGCATTAATGGTTCTAGTTGTAGTATCTGGTTCTGCCCTTATTGAGGCATCATTAATTGTCTTTTGTCGTATACGTTCTGATACTAGTTACAATGGTTCTCTCGTTTTGATGGTTTCAGGTATCTTCCACAGTCAGCAAGGTTCCTTATCGTCCATGGACGTTACAAAGAAGCAGCTTCAGTTTTATCCCACATAGCCACCAAGAACAGGAAGGACATTCCAGATGACTTGTTGGCGAAATTAATGGTACATGTTTTACTTTGGTAAACTTGATATCCTCAGTTTGAGAATTGTTAGAACTAACGACGACTGAAATATGTTTCATTGAGAACAATTTGTTTTGATATTTGAGCATTATATATTAAACTATGAAGATAAACTTGGGCTAAACGAAACGGGATTTATTAAAAACTGAGGAATTAGGATATACAAGTAAACTATTTTAAGAAAACCAAATAGAGATGTAAAGATTCGAAGGGTGATCTCTTCTTCAACAGTCCTTATGAAACATAAAACAAAATACGCTCGCACTTTTACGTCATTCTGAACCTTTTTGATCACTTTTTAATAGTCTATGACGCTGTCTTACTTCGGGATAAATTGAAAATACTTCATATTGCTGTTTGATTTTTAAAACAATCATAGTATTTAAAGGTTGAAAACTTTTAGCAATATAGAGAAATTATATTACCTGTTAACAGATGTGATTGTTTTAATCTTTGCAGTTTTTAAATACATTTTTTATCCAATTTATTTATCATTCCTACCCTCAGTGGTAAGTGTCATGGCTAATGTTAAAAATCTTGGTTCGATACTTGCGATGGGCCAATGCAGAAAACGTATTATGTAAATATTGTTGTGGTGACAGGTATTGCCCTTGAAACAACTGTTACACGTCGCATCTATAAATATTGTTGTGGTGACTGTATTACCCTTGAAACAATTGTTACACGTTGCATCTATAAATATTGTTGTGGTGACAGGTATTACCCTTGAAACAACTGTTACACGTCGCATCTATGAATATTGTTATGGTGACTGGTATTATCCTTGAAAGAACGGTTACACATCTTGTTTACGAGACCTGAAATCTGAACTTGTGGGCTTTTCCCAACATATGACGAATAACTTGGATTGAGGGTTTCCCTAGAAGTTGTTTGTTTTGGATACGTTCATGATTGGTAAGACCTCAGCAGAAGTCTGGAAAACTGATTTTTAGTGTAGACAGGTCGATGGTGCATCGTTTCTTCTCATACCACCAGCTGTGATCACTGGTCTTTAGTGTAGACAGGTTGATGTTGCATCGTTTCTTCTCATACCACTAGCTGTGATCACTGATCTTTAGTGTAAACAGGTTGATGTTGCATCGTTTCTTCTCATACCAGTAGCTGTGATCACTGGTCTTTAGTGTAGACAGGTTGATGGTGCATTGTTTCTTCTCATGCCACCAACTGTGATCACTGGTCTTTAGTGTAGGCAGGTTGATGGTGCATCTTTTCTTCTCATGCCACCAGCTGTGATCGTCCATTGCTGTATTTTTTTCGTGACTTGAAGACAATTCACCTAGAGTTCCTGTAGGATATTAGCCAGACCCAAGTACGTTATAGAATTGGACAAATCTATGAAAAAAAAGTGTCCAAAAAAGGCTGGACTTTAATACTATAGTACCCGATAAAAATACAAGTTCTGGTGAATTTGTGGCACACTTGTACCTGTCCTATATCGCTTGTGGCCGTTTGACATTCTCTACACTTCTCGGACCATTATTCACTCTTCTCGAACCATTCTTTACACTTTACACTGTATGGTATATACTGAGCTACATGTGTTGACTGTATTGTATGGTATATACCGAGCTACACATGTTGACTATTTGTATTGTATGGTATATACCGAGCTACACATGTTGACTGTATTGTATGGTATATACCGATCTACACATATTGACAGTATTGTATGGTATATACTGAGCTACATGTGTTGACTATTTGTATTGTATGGTATATACTGAACTACAAGTGTTGACTGTTTGTATTGTATGGTATATACTGAGCTACACGTGTTGACTGTATTGTATGGTATATACCGAGCTACACATGTTGACTGTATTGTAAGTATATACTGAGCTACACGTATTGACTGATTGTATGGTATATACCGAGCTACACATAATGACTGTTTATATTGTATGGTATATACCGACCTACACATGTTGACTGTATTGTATAGTATATACTGAGCTACACGTATTGACTGATTGTATGGTATATACCGAGCTACACATAATGACTGTTTATATTGTATTGTATGGTATATAACGAGCTACACATGTTGACTATTTGTATTGTATTGTATGGTATATACCGAGATACACATGTTGACTATTTGTATTGTATTGTATGGTATATAACGAGCTACACATGTTGACTATTTGTATTGCATGGTATATACCGAGCTACACATGTTGAGTATTTGTATTGTATGGTATATACCGAACTACACTGTTGACTATTTGTATTGTATGGTATATACCGAGCTACACATGTTGACTGTATTGTATGGTATATACCGAGCTACACTGTTGACTGTATTGTATGGTATATACCGAGCTACACATGTTGACTGTATTGTATGGTATATACCGAGCTACACTGTTGACTATTTGTATTGTATGGTATATACCGAGCTACACATGCTGACTCCTTGTGTTGTATGGTATATACCGACCTACACATGTTGACTGTTTGTAATGTATGGTATATACCGAGCTACACATGTTGACTGTATTGTATGGTATATACCGAGCTACACTGTTGACTGGTCGTATTGTATGGTATATACACATGTTGACTGGTTGGTAGCCATATATTTCTCTTTGCTTTGCAACGATTCCAATAATATATTTTTGTTTGATATTGAAATTAGACCAATGAAAATTTGACATTAATATTATCCGAGAGCTTTAGAATCACCACACCACTGCAGAACATAACACTCTATGAAAAAGTACAATAATAAAGCCACAAAAGTTTCATTATGAGGTAAAAATAAGTCGGAACACTTTTCGAGGTCATCCGAATATTTCTTGTTAGATTTCTTTTTGTTCTGCTCCAAAATCATTTTTTTAGTAAAAGAAACATAAATAACAACATGGAAAGATACAGAGCTTTTGACGTGTAATTTCCTGTTCATTACTTTGAAAATCTCCAGAGCTTTTCGATTCCTATAGCTATTTTTGTCATAGTCTGGATAAAAATTTATTTAATGTTGTTCTTGAGTGTTAGCATATTATGGTGCAATCTATCGGCAGATATCATCTGTAGTTTAAAATGAGGATAAACGATAATAAGAGGAGAAACTATGATATTTTAATTTCTTGAAAGGTGTTTTTTTTTGGTTTATGTAATTACACATTTTATATTTAGAAAATAGGACAAACAATGGACAGAGAAAAGCAAGAAGAAAAGAGTCACTCCCTCTTGGACTTTTTCAAGTTTCCACAACTCCGTAAAAAACTGTGTATCATCACTCTGAACTGGTAAGAGCAAACTGTATTATCACTCTGAACTGGTAAGAGCAAACTGTATTATCACTCTGAACTGGTAAGAGCAAACTGTATTATCACTCTGAACTGGTAAGAGCAAACTGT